ATAATTATGGTTAATTAGAATGTTGATTTCTAACTAACTCAAATTAAGGAGAAATAGGAAAATAATTCAAACGGTGAATATTCAAAATATGAATTGAATTATCCTTGCATCTGTGATCAATTGTGGATTTCCGACGGTGGATGTAGACTTAGACCAAGGTTAGTCTTTTAATTGTTTTTGATAATTTAATTTTCATTGTTATTGATTACATTATTTACAATTGTTTGAATACAAAAACTCCCCAATCATTGTACGAAATATAAAACATTGAATTACACACTCTTCGTGGGATCGACCCTTACTTCCACTACTACATTAGTTTTAGAAGTTTAAGAACTATTTTTGGGTGCCTACGACAACACACCAACTACCGATGGAATTCTATGTGTAATAGTGAGATCACAATGAGGAACAGCTGGATCGGGAATAATCACATCATCCTCCCGAACTGTCTCCACTATGTCCCAAAAATCATTGGCATTGTGATCTCCTTCATCCGAATCTTTGTGTTCAACTTCGAAGACATCCTTCCTCACTAAAGTCACCCAAAGAAGAGTCGTGTACATTTTGTTCAATTTAAATAGATAATTCACTTTTTCATCACAAGTAACCTTCATATGTGGAATCGAAATAGATGAATCATCCTTGAATCTCAGTTCCATATCGTACTGAGATGGGTCGATATTCAGTTTGTTTTATAAATCATGGTACATTCTCGCATATGTTGTACTCTCCGTTATGAAAATTGGAGTATCACCACGTTCATCGCTCGTCTATCTCCGTACCCATTGATCTTTCTTATCCAATTCGAAGTTACCAAAGTAACAAATTGGCATTACAACCATATCTGCAAGAAGAAACATTTTTTTTTTAAAAAAAGAAAATACATAGTGAAAAATTTGGCTTTTAACATAAATTTAAAAGAAAAGGACGAAACAGTCAAAACAGAATTTTTTTAGGAAAATACATAGTAGAAATTTGACTTTTAACAGAAATTTAAGAAAAAGGGCGAAACAATCAAAACAGATTTTTTTTTTTTTTTTTGAGAAAATACAGTCTAAAATTCGGCTTTTAACAATAATTAAAAAATAGGCGAAACAACCCGTTTCTCACCAGATCCATTTCGTCTGAAAGATGCAGATGAATTTTTTTCTCGTTCATGTTTAAAAAATTTTATATACATTAACTATCTATGTCGAAATAAATTTAATGATTAAAATGTATACCGATTTAACGAAAATGAAATGAAACATACGTAAATATATTTATCGATTCGAAGTGATTGATATAAAAAAATTCAGGTTTCAACGTTTGATAATTTTTTTAGATTTTAAAGTTGAAGCAGATGAAAGATGAGAGAGTTTTTATCTGTATTGAAATAAACAGATAACAAAAGTTAGTTTATTTTGAAATTTTACCTGTATTTGTTTTTTATTTGTTAACTAAATGTTGATATTAACTTTTAAACAAAATAATATTTTATAATTGTTTTATGTACTTAAGGGACTTTTTTTGTCTTTTTCCATTAAATATGCCATTATGAAAATATGAATAAGTTGAAAAGTCATCATAGAAATATGGTCATTTGATCGCGTCAATTTTAAAAGTACCCCCATTATTGCTAAAAAAAAAATATTTAACTAATAATAATAAATTATAAATAAGTGTATTTGCTAATAGTATGATTAAATTGGTATCATTGACTAATTAGATTTGAATTTTTTTTGAAGGATATTTTTGCTGATCGATTCAACTCCGGTTCGAATTCGATTTTCAACCTTTTGACCCTTTACCCTTTATCTTTCTCTAGTCGATGTCCAGTCCGATTTTCAAAGCATTGCAATTAACTAAGCATGATTGACGTTTAATTCATAAAAAGTTGAGGATACGAATGTTAAGAAACAAACGTTCGGGATAAAATTGCAGAAGCGGATAAAGGTTAGGGATTGTAGCAGCAAATTACCCTAGTAGAAAAGGATTTAGGGTTTGCCTATATAATGAATCATCGTCTTTTTTTTCTCTTTCTCGTTCTTTTTCCGGCCGACGTAGCTTACAGCCATGGTTCACGTCAGTTTTTACCGCAACTGTAAGCCTCCTCCCCCTTCTTTATGGGTTTGTGTGTGTTTGCGTTTGTGGGTTTTGGTGCGTGTGGGTGCGGTTTTTTTTCTTGTGATTAAGTTCCGTGATCTTCATTATGACATATGAATCAAGCTTAAAATCTTACTCTAATAGTGCAAGTATCTTTGTGCATCATTATTTTTGTTGTTTAATTCTGGGGTGGTTTAGTTGTTTAGAGATCCAGTGACATTACACAATTAAACAAAAATTGTTCTTCATTTATTCGACTTTGTTCTGGGTGGATTTGGTTCATAATTTTGGAAAAAAAGGAAAAATTCTAGGGTCAAATGGAGCTTTGGACTCCAAATCCAATGTTCTAGTAATAAGACTTCGATGGGTAATTTTTAGTTTTAAATATGTCCTACATTTTTCTCACAGCCAATGCACAAAGAATTGTTTCTCTGTGCATTGTATAACTTTTATTTATTGAATTTTTCTCTTCGTATCTATTTGCATAGACAAATTTAAATATTTGCTTTACCCAGTAGTAGTACAGAATGCTATAGAATATTTATCCTGACTTTGCAACTGTGGCTCATAACAGATGGGAAGACATTTAAGAAGCCTCGCCGTCCATACGAGAAGGAGCGTTTGGATGCAGAGCTGAAGCTTGTTGGTGAATACGGGCTCCGATGCAAGAGAGAGCTCTGGAGGGTGCAGTATGCATTGAGTCGTATTCGTAATGCTGCTAGAAATCTTCTCACCCTTGATGAGAAAGACCCCCGTCGTATCTTTGAGGGTGAAGCCCTTTTACGCAGGATGAACAGGTACGGGCTTTTGGATGAGAGCCAGAATAAGCTCGATTATGTCTTGGCACTTACTGTGGAGAACTTCCTTGAACGCCGCCTCCAAACACTTGTGTTCAAGGCTGGTATGGCCAAGTCAATTCATCATGCCCGTGTGCTCATCAGGCAGAGGCATATCAGGTATACATTCTATTATGGCTCCCTAGCTTGTTTCATTGAAACTTCAGTAGTGTTCTCTGCTAAATAGATGGAATGCATAGTTCGTCGCGTTTCACGTCTAACATTTTTTTGCATTTGAATGTTAATCCTATTGGTTTATTTTTATGGAGGATTATGAATGTAGATTTTGTTTGTTTTTTGTTTGTTAAATGTGGTCAAAAGAAAATCGAATGAACAATCCCTTCCATTCTTCATATTTTAACCTTCACTTTGTAATACTGTGTGTCAGAAAGCTTTCTTTCTTTTAATTCATTTTGAAACTAATGCTATTTGATTGTAATGCAATGAACTTTTAGAAAATGAACAAGATAATGGAAAATGCATCAAACTGAAACCAAATACTCAATTTAGAAATTTAAATGTGGCTGCGTTGTGTTATTTAGAGTTTATTTTAAGAGTATGCTGAACTTTAGACACAATTATTGGTTTAATATATGGAATTGCACAGCTACCTGAAATGCTGTTTCCCTTTTCAGTAAAAATGGTTGTACTGCCAGTCGGCCACCTTTAAACACAGTATTCTGGTTTCCCTTTTCCGTAATAATGGTCATATGGCACTTGTGAATACACCTTCAGTATCTTAGCTGTAGAGGTTTCATAGACCAAGGTTGAATATGAGGGATTTTTCTGACCCGACTACAAATACTCTTCATGTTTATTTATATTCAGTTTGGTAAATTTGTAAACATTATACGCTTTATTCATTTGGTGTAATCACATTGTTACTCATGTTGCATTTCACATTTGCTTATACTTTATATCATAAATATGTCTGCTTTCCTGTATTTCGATTTTGAAAGTTAACCTTTGACTTCTTTTGGCACTGGACTATTCTCTTGACTTCCTTTAACACATTAAATTCTACAGATTTTCTGTTGTTTTTGGATATTAACTCCTTTTATTCATTTCATAAAACCTTGAATGGCGACTACCGTGCTTGTTCAGTGAGTTGAGATAGATTCCTGAGTTTCTAGGTTATGCAATACCTCATTTCTGTGAACATTCCTAATCATGAATTACGGGATGTGGATCCTTGATAGCTGCATATTTTCTTGTATCTTCTTGTCATTAGTAGAGAATATATTAATATTAGTAATATTTAAACAAGAGTTGATAGCTGCTGGAGATTGCATGTCGTATATCTAGAAGTTCTTTATAGCTGTGATGTTTAGACAACTTGGAAGTTGCTAAGGAGTCATTTCTTCCCTATCACCACTTCCTTAACCCAAAAGAACTGAAGAAAAAGAAATGTGTGGGAAGTTGTCTATGTTAAGCTGTCCCTCTTTTATGTTACGGCTATGCTATAATATATCTCCAGTTATTCTTCACATTTGTTTTTAGCCAGAATCATTCTAGAGATTATATTAAATATCCTAAAATTTATTTAGTCATCAGTTCTTAAAATATAACTGGTCTCGTTCTGTGTTGTTTCCTAGCATTTGTTTCTGAAAGAGAGTTTATTCAGTAGGAAGAAATGTTGACTGAAATCAATTTTCCAGTTTCATGAGTTCTTTACTTTTCCGTTTGTATCCATTTGTAAGATGCACATTTTCAACTGAATTCTTTAGATGATGGGTTTTCCAATTCATTCTTGCCAGGGTTGGGAGGCAGGTGGTTAATGTGCCATCCTTCATGGTGCGAGTCGACTCACAGAAGCACGTCGACTTCTCCCTCACTAGTCCTTTTGGTGGTGGTCGACCTGGAAGAGTGAAGCGAAAGAACCAGAAAGCTGCTGCAAAGAAGGCATCTGGTGGCGATGGTGATGAAGAAGACGAAGATTAAACATTTAAAAAACTGAAGTATCACGTTCTTAAAATGCGGTTTTTATTCTGAACTGGAACACTTTAAAATTTTGTCTCGACGGATGGTAGCGTGTCTGCGTGTGCTTGCTTGTAATGTCACTCTTTCTGTTTCATTTTTCGGTTGGGATGTTATGAAGATTAATTTAAATATAATTTCATCAACTTTTCATCATTTAGTACTTTCCATATGAATTGAATCATATAATGGGTCTATTACTTAATTTTTCTTAATATAATTAAAATTATGAATTGCAAAAAAACTTGACAAATCCGATAATCATGGGGTGGGAATTACCCGCTTAATCGGGTATTCGGGCCGGGTAATAGGTGCCCGTCCCATGAATTCAATACTTTAAATGGAAAATTTCACAAAATTTTATTAGTTCTAGTAGAAAATGACAACTAAAATTATTTGTCTCAATTTAATGAATATGGGCAATAAAATAAATTATCAAAAATGTAAAAAAAAAAAAATTTAAACGGGGTAGTAAACGGGGCAACCGTTCCGTCTTGCCTTAAAAGAGTAACAGGGCGGGGGGCGAGAGAGGTAGTTATTTTTTATTTTTTCTCCTTTCGTAGGGTTGATCCAAAAGAAAGCACTTTTTAAAAATTCTCGACTGCCGGGGGCGAACCCGAGCCGAAGAGAGAGTTTGAAAATAGTTTTCAACCAGCAAGTAGACGCATTTCGATTAGAACTTTACTAATCGTGTCATTGTTGCAAGCACAAAGATCCTTTTGAAATATTATTTTTATCTCTATTTCACCAATAATTTCAACTAAATAACAATATTTCTATATAATTCGCAAAAGCATTGGCAATGTGTGAACGAGGTTTTAAACTAACAAGATTGTCGGTCCAATATGATTTTTTTCGTTTTGAAAAATATTGGTAAAACTCCCATATAGTAAATTGGCAAGTTTATAATCAAAATCAATCTATTTACTTCAAAATTTTATCTTCACTTATTTATTTAATTTTTATTACTGCTGGTTTGAACGCAATTCAATTATTAAAGTCCTGTTTGACAACCATTCTTTTAGAATGTTTTTTTCTCATGCTTATTTTCAATTACAGTCTCACAATAAATATTTATAAATATACCATATTTTTTTAGGTAAATCCAAAAACTTTCCAGTTTTTTAATCACATATTCTGCAAAAATTTATTATTCAATAATTTATTTTTTCCAAAAAAAAAAAAA